TTTAAATATAAATTGGTTGTATTGAATTTTGTAAAAAGATGGTGACCTGGTGTCTTTTTGTCCAGGAATTACAAAATTATATTAATAATTAGTAAATTTCAGGGTTAAATAATATGCCATTTCACTTTATTAGGTTTATTACAATGACCTTTTAATTTTTAAAAAATTTCTTTTTTTAAGAGTTTATATTTGCTATAATACTACCATAAAACTATTTGGATTTTAATATAGATAGGTACAAATCAACCACAATTAATTTCATCATTATAATGATGATACACTTATAAAGATGTAATTGCTTAGGAACAACCGATTCCTTGTTAATATTATTTTGTTAAAAGTTCAAGATGATTTTGATTTATATACACATGTTATTTCAAGATTTTTTTATTTTAATAAAAAAAATTGAAATTCCATTACATTTTTTAATTAATTTGTAGCTTTTTACAAACATATGGATGATTTTTTTTTAAATTTTAATATATTGTTCAAGCTGGTGCTAAGAAATTTGGAATTTAAAAGCTAACCAAAAATCATTTCCTACATATTTTTAAAATTTATTTGGTATATTTTTTAGATGAGAGGTCTAATTTTAAGTTTAAAAAAAAATGGTAATTTAAAAACTAACCAAAAATAATTTTCCACATTTTTTTTAAAATTTATATTTTAATTTTTTTAAAGGGAGAGGACTAGTGTTGTTAAACAGTCCGATTTGGGCTTAAAAAAACGACCCGATTAAGATTAGATAGAGAGGACTAATTTGCATTTAATCAGTTCATTAATACATCATATATTAGCATAAAAAGGAAAATCCACTTACCTTTAATTATTATTTGATTTATGCTTGTAATAAAATTATTCAATATAATTTTATATATTAATGTAACCCCATTAAAATATAATAAAAAAGATTCATTAAAAAAAATAATGTAAAAAATTCATTAAAAAATAATTATTGATTCTAAAAAAAGATTTCACCTAGCTAAATGCTTTGATTAGTCATGTAAAATTTTATTGGTCCTAAATTTGAATAATGGCGATTTTAAGTTTTTGAGTTTATTTTTATGTCCTTAGCACAGTTACTGGGTTTAAAGTATGGGCAACCGAGGTGAGCGGACAAATCAGGCCAAATTTTAAAAAATTTTCGCCCGATTCGAGTGGAGTTGTGTTTATCAGAGATCTGTAAAATCGAAATTTTTTGGCCCAGTTCACTTGCGGTTGGGTGTAAAAATTTTATTTTAGACTCTGGTCATCTCCCTTAAAAAATAGAGGGAAAAATCTCAAACTCAAGATATTATTTTTATTCTCTATTTTAATGTTAGGTTTTAATTTTAAATATTTCGCTATAACTTTGTTAATTTGATGATGCTTATTTACTTTAGAGGTCTGCATTGGGCGGGGTTTCGGCCCACCCACACCCGCCCATCTAAGTGGGCGAGCGAATGGGCGGGTAAAATTTTTTTGAAAATGGGCAAGCGGGCGGGTGGGTTAAAAATTTTTGAAACTATGGGCGGACGGGTGGGTGGGCGGGTTAAGAAATTTAAACAATGGGCTAGCGGGTTAAGGAAATTTAAAATTTTTATTCAAAAACAAACTAAAAAAAAATCATAATTAATTAAATGATCAATAATAATATTTCTTTTTTTATTGTACCAATCTTTTTTTTTAAGTGAAGAAAACTTTACTAGTTTTTTGACATCTTTATCTAATTTTTCCCACCATATATAATGTCTCGTAATGGATTTCATTGTTGTAATACCCGGATGTCCCGTATGCAATATATGCAAAACTCTTTTTTGAAGTGAGTACAGAATGATTAATTTGCCATTCCAAAATAAAATACCGTCATCATTTTCTATTTCATCTATTCTTGTTCTAAAAGCTTGTAATTCTGGTGCTTGATTTTGTATATTTGTACCATTTATTTTCTTAATAGAGTTAATGTGTCATAAGTAAGATTTCTTATATATTTCACACTTTTATTTTCACTTGTTATTCTACATTTTTCTTTATTGGGTTTCGCGATAAAGCATCTTCAATTATATTATTAGCGCCATTCTTGTACATTATATTATAATCATATGCAAATTTATAAGCCCAACGTAATAATCTTTGGTTTGTTAATGAGCTCAAATCTCTGTTATTACCGTATATCTTTATTAAAGGTTTGTGGTCTTCAAATTTTAAATTTTAGTCCCATATAGTTATGAGATTTTTCTACGCCGTTTCTTATTGCTTTTGCTTTTTTGTCTATTGTAGAATAATTCTTTTCAGCGTCTTGTAAAGTTCTTGAGGTGTAAGTTATTGGAAATTCGTTACAATTATCATATTTTTGCATGATACAGCTCCAAATCCTTGGTTAGATGCATCTGTTTCTAATATTAACTCGAAGTCTGGTTTATAAAACTGTATAGTATTTTGTTCTGTTACTATTCCGAATAGCATGAAACGATTACGAAAATAGCACGGTATTTTATTTTGGAATGGCAGATTAATCTTCGTACTCACTTCAAAAAAGAGTTTTACAAATATTGCATACGGGACATCCAGATCTCACTTGAGGAAGAAAATTTAGTTCAGACGGATATCATACTTTGGTGGAAACGACAAGAGATTTGCCAAAGATATCAAGATTAGCAAGAAAAATATTATTGCTGGAAGGTTTTTAGAACAAAGTAGAACGTGTTTGTATCCAGAAACGTCGATTCATTATTATTTTTGCATTATAATTACATATAATATCAATTTTATATTTATTTTATAAATATTCTATTTGATCAAATAAATTGTTCTTAATTAAAATTGAATATTTTTTTATGCTTAAATTAATTTCCTAAATTATAAACTTTTTGTAGAGGTGTAATGCTCAAATATTTTTATTAGATGCTTAAAAAATTGAAAGAATGGTCATTATTAAATTTTATATGTGGACTTGGGTTAAAATTTTTTATAAATAATGGGCGGGCGGGTAAAAAATTTTAAACAAATGGGCGGGGCAAGCGGGTATATATTTTTTTGAAAACTTTGGGCGGTTTAAATTTTTTTGGCTTTTGGTCCAAAAACCCGCCCAATGCAGACCTCTAATTTACGTTATTCCTATTTGTTACAAAATATAATATTAAATTCATTTTATGATTGTTTTATTCAATAGGGGGAAAAAGAGTAGGAAAGAAATATAACATTTTATTTGGACCACGGGCCGGCTCTGCAGGACTCTTACTACCCTCTCCCTATATTCAGTCTTTTTTACTGCCAACAAAAATAAAAACTAAGTTCACTCAAAAATTATAAATAATTTATTTTATTGAACAGTTAAAGATAATTATAATTATATTATAAAATTCTTCGAAATTTAATCTAACATATTCCGAATAAATCCTCGATTATCGCATCATCTCTTTTTATTGATTTTAAGGCTCGCGTATCTGATTATTTGTCCTAGATTTGTAAAAGAAATAACGGGGCACTCCTAGTTGATTAAAAGGTTTAACGATTTAAAACGGATCACGATCATCATTTATTCTATATTTCGTTCTCTCATTAAGAGTTTTAAGACCCTTTTCTGCTTCTGCCGCATTACTAAAAATAGAAAAATGGGCACTCAAAAAAAGAGGATCTAGAAAAAATTAATAAATTTTAATTAACTAATTTCATCACATTGCCCGTGCCCCTATTTATTTGGATTTCTTATCTAGGTAATATAGGTAATGAGAATCTTAACGAATAACGTAACATAACACGTTTGAAATTGAATTAATTTAATACTGCGATAAAAGAATTGAATTTTAATTATTTATTTTATTACATTACGAGACCCAAGGTATTGAAATGCAACATATTTACATAAAATAAATATTACATTAATGATTTCAGGAAAATATTTGATACCATAAACCGATTCATATGATATAATATATTAAATTTAATATATAATTCTTCTTACTTATTCTTATTTCACTTTTTTTTTTATAAAACACATTTATTTCATTTTCTTAAGTTTAAAAAAAAATATATAATGTTAAGAAATGAATAGTGCTTTAAGGAAATTTAAATTTACATAAGAAATTAAAAATGGTTCTCATTGTTCAATTTTAAATATTGCATTTTTTATTTATTTTTTTAATATTAAATATTTTTTATAGAGTTTTTTTTATATGAGAGTTTTGAAGAAGAAAAAACAGGAGAATTATTTACATTTACAATAAAGATTATTATAAATCGTTTGAGCGTTAAATTTTTTGATCTTTAAAAACAAAATTTATATTCCCACTTCTCTATTATATTAAAAAAGAAAACTATGGTTTTAAAATTATTCTATAAATGAATTTCTTGAGCGATTCCGGAAATCAACAAGACAAATTTTCGCACTCGAATAGATTTAATTTCTTAATTGGGTTATATCTTTATTATATATTAATATATAAAAATACACCGTGCTTGATTTATAGACCTGCAAGAGACAAAAAATTTTTCCACCTTACCCTTAGGAAAAAAGAGCATTTTCCCGACATGACATAGTATTCGTTCAAAAGAATCGGATACGATTGATTTATTTTTCGATTAGTATTCGTTTTTGAATATAGGCCTACTTACAATAATTAAAATATAGTTTATTTAATATATGCTTAAAATTTAATGATTTGTGAAATTTAATATATTTATTTTCTGGTTCATAAGAATACCAACTTGTCTTTCGCGTTAATTTTTTCCCACTATTATTTAATGATTTGACAAATTTCTATTAATTCAGCAACTTGTTTCTATAAAACCGCATATTATTAATTTTACATATCGACCTATTTTTCCAGTTTGTGATTTTTTTGGTCAGACTTATCCGGTTCGACTTCTTGGATAGTCTGATCAGACCTCACCTATTAAAGCCCTGCAAGAAGGTAGGCTCGGGGTATGTATAGCCTAACATCTTAAATAAAATATCTGATAACCTGAAAAATATATAAATTTTATATTTACAATTACTTCATAATTTTTAAAAAAAATAGGAGATGGGGGGCGAATCGCTAAAAGCAGCCTTTATTTTTTGCAACACCGACTTCCACCAGCAAGCAGTGAGCAAAATTTTCATTATAATTAAGTGATTAGATATTAAAATGCGAATTTTTTTTAAAACGGTCATATGGGTTGACTCGGGCCGAAAAATCGATTTTGCAGGGCACGCTATCAACTATTATTTTTTTAAATAAGCTTTATACGACCTTAAAAAGTTGTGTCCTTATTCGGAAATTTTTTTTAAGATATGAAAAATTTTACGAACCAGTCCACCTGGTATATAATAATAAAAAAATTTCCTAGGAATGCGAATTTATAAAACCATTATGAGAAAAATAAAATTAATTTTTTTTGCTTTGAAAGATTAGGAACTTGTTTGACCCCATCAAACCCGGGTGAAAAATGTAAGATTAAGGGTTAGCACAACCGTTTTATTGTAAAATTCTTCTTTTCCTGTCCGAGCCCAAATATAATAGAAGACTAACGGCCCAGAGTGCGCGGTCCTAATTTAATTTAAATATATAAATAGAATAGGAAATATATTTTTTGCCTAATGTTTTTTTCAATTTAATTATATAAATAGAATTAGGAAATATATTTTTGACTAATTTATTTTTCATCGGAAAATTAATTGCCTTTATGATTTTCTCCTCACCAGATATTATATATTTTTTCCCACTGAATGATGAAACTAATTAGATAAGTTAATATAATTAACAATTATTTCGAGTTTCGGAGCGAGCCAGGTAAATACTTTATTGATTATATTACGGGCCTGGCTTTGGCCTCCATGCAGTAGGACAGTGTGTTTTTAAATTCAAAATGATTTTCATGCAAGAGTTATATAAAAATTATTCTTTTTGAGATTACAAAATATAAGATTATTATCTCAAAATTAAATCCTATGATGTATATTTTAAAGGAAATTTTTTTCTTCTTTTTTTATTATCAAATTTAATATTAAAAAAACAATTGGATAAATTTTTAGATTTATAAATATTAAAAATATACATACCTTATCTATAAAGATAAAAAAATATTTAAAATTATCGTTTCTATAAATTGCCTCATTAATTCAGATTTTAAAAAGGTAATATACGGGTAATTATTAAAATTACATAATTTTTAAAAAAATATAAGATAAAATAAATACGATTTAAATTTAAAAAGCACGATAGATAGTATGTTATTATAAACAATTTTTTTAAAATAGGTAAAGAAATAATTTCATAATATAGGTAAACTATTTTTTTTTTAAATTTGAGCACCGTTCCTGAGGAGAGTCGAGATCAACATTTTTGCTCAAAATGAACAAGTGCCAAGTTTAATAAAGTAAAATATTTTTTTTATAGCAGAATTTTTAAGATTATGCAGCCCACTCTTTCAAATTTTTAGAAGCCTATTAGACAAGTTTCACGGTCACTGTTAGCTCTACAATTTTACGGAATATAAAATGATTGATTTTTATAAATAACAAATACTCTTGATAAATAAGAATTAAAAAATGTTTAAAACATAACCTTATTTTTTTTTACATTATAATCAATGACACGACTAATTTACCTTTATATAATTCATAATATATTTTAATGACGTAATATAGTGGAACTGTCTAATTTGGGCAACTTATATAATTTGAATAAAGTTTTTTAAGTTCCAAAACAACAGTAAAAATATTATCAACTCTTAATCAATGGACCTTTTTAAATTTTAGAAAAAACCTTGGGACCGTCTAAGTACTTGTTAAAGATTGACAAGTTTATACCTGTATTACATTTATTAAAAAAAAATTTTTTATCTTCTAACTTTAATAATATCATTTATTTATAATTTTATTATCTTGAATTTTTTTAAAAAATATTTTTCTCAATTATAACAAAATAATATTTGTAAAAAAATGTTGAATAATATTCCTCCTGAAAAATGTAATGTCGAGGAAAATATAAATCACAATATAATTATGTCATGTTATTATTGTAAAAAAAAGGTTAATAGTTTTAGCTTGATAAAATAAATTTTTTAAATTTTGTTTTATATGAAAAAAATTTACATCTAATTTCTAATTTTTTTAGGTTAGATTTTTAGCTAAAAATTATGATGTCAATGTTATCAATCAGCTTCAAATATTCTTTCATTAGTAATTAATCGATATGATTTTTAAAAAAAGTCAAATGCAGTTTTATGGTGACCGACAAAATCTTATATTAGAGTATATAGTTATATCATGATTCACAGATTTATTCATTAAATGCTGTCATTGAAAGTTTTTATTCTTCCAATGTACACATCTTATCCGATTTAACATCTCGCAAGAAGAATCTCAAAAAAATAACATCTTACTTCCAGCTTCAACCAAAATACTTATTCATTCTTAAAGCAAAGCTAAAAAATATTGTTTTTTATAAAAAGGAAAGAATGTTTACCTTAAAGAAAAAGAAAAATCCTCTTAAAATATCCTTACCTTCGAACTTCGAGCACAGAGTTCATACAGGATTTGACCAATTTAATGGAAAATTCGTGGGACTTCCGGCCCAATGGAATGGTATCGTGGATACTAACACCGTATCGCCGAGTTTTGATTCGTCCAATGGCACTAATAATTACCAATTTAGCAACCACAAGAACGGTTTCAATACTCACGAGCCCAATAGACCGAAACCCATGGTTGATCCATCCATTATTACCCCAATGGAGATTCTCAATTTGAAGGTTAAATTAAATACTTTTTAAGATTAATTTAGTATCAATTAAAGATTGTTTTTTTTGGAAATCATTTACCGGTGTGTGCTTATAATATAAATTAGTGCTGTGAATATAAAGTTTTATGTGTATTTTAAAAATTATTTAAAAAAAATTAAAATATATATTTCTTACTTTTTTTTAAAAGAAAAACTATAATTTAATAAAAAATTTAAGTTCAAAATTATCTTAATATTTATATCATAGACTTGCAGAGGTACCAATTGCACGGCCTTCGCCGGATTTTCTAAAAAAAAAATTTCGGCTCGGTCCAGGTTTTTTTAAAAAAATATTATTTTTATTTTTATAGCTAATAATGACGATAAAAAAGAAAGAAGTATTCGGCTTTAAAATATACGGCCCGGGTATATTTGAAAAAATAAAAATACTGTCCGACCCGGGCTCTAATTTTTATAGTATCAGTGGCCTTGTTAAGGGTGCATTTGATGGCTTGAGCCCCGTCAAATGTTGAAAATACAAATCTTGCAATAAGTGAAAAATATATAAGTTTAATTTTTAAATAATTTTATGAGTACCCATTGATCCCTGGCAAATTGAAAAGTCTAGTGAGGCCTTCGCATAGTATAGCAACACATATAATACGAATTAAGATAAGTTAGTTTTTTTAAATAACAAGCAATACAAAAGCCAATAACCGTTTATTTTTTTAAATAATTTAAAAACCAAGCAAGAAATCACAATCAAAAACAAAATATTTTAAAATTATAACAACCAAAGCTTACATATTTTTTTTTTTGATTTTTAATTTTTCAAGCTATAAAATACCAATATTAGTCAAAATAAAATACTAATTAGAATATCTATGTGAATTGTTTTAATAACGCAATTTAGGGCTGCGATCAGGCTTAAAATTAGATAAAAAAATTAATAGCCGGGCCCTGTCATAATTTCATTCTTGCGAATCATAGAAAATAATTCCCCCGAAAAAAGTTACCATAATTTATTTTCCTCCCTCTCTAAAAAAATGTAGAGTTTTTTCCTGGGACTTATTTTCTGCCTACCCATTTTCACATCTTCACAGATAGTAGTCACTTTCTCTCAATTATTTCACAGCGCTACATCAACCAAACTTTACTAAAATGACCGATGATAACTTTAAAATTAGATTTGTTTTTTGAAACAATTTTTTAATTTTTTTTAAATATGACACTTTTGCTCTTTAACATTTAAGTTATTGATTTTGAAAAATAGGAGAAAAAAACGCATGATATTTTTTGTGGTTGTTTCTGTTTGTATTTTTAAAATTAAACAACATGCTATTCATAATTATTACAATTAATTAAGAATCTGGGAAGGCCAACTTTATTTATCTTTGAAACAAATAATTTTGTCATTTGTTATTTTATCAAAAAAATTAATTTTTTTTAGACTTTGGTCAAAGGAGAAGATTCCTCGATAGCTCTCAATCAAACTTTCACGGAGGGTTTGGATAATCAAAACTATATTCCGACGTCCGTAATGAACGGATATTATGACGCTAAACCTCACAGTCAAGACAGAGCCAAAAAAATATCCATAGTTAGATCGAATTCACTAAGAAGAGATCATTCTTTGACGGAAAAACCTTTCGAACAAGAATACCTAATTGGTTCCGGAATTCCGCATAACGATAAAAATAATTCAAATCCTTACGACGAGGAAATCAATAAAATTCGTATTCTTAATAGAATGGGTATTTAATTATAACTTATTAATGAAAAAATTACAAACAAAAAAATGAGTATAAATTTAAAGTAAAAACTATGATATTTGTCTTGATCTTGTAATAATGAATGTTTTAGATTGAATTGATCATTGATTAAAGAAACGAGATTATAATATAATATCGTATAAACTTGTGAAAATTATAAAAATTTATTATTATGATATTTGTTTTTTTGGTTTACTTATAAGGTTATAATGGACTAATTCCCAAGAGTCCAAACATATGTTCTGGGGCTGCTCTCGGAAATTTTCCATTTTCTTACTTACATCCTGTTCCATCCCTTCTTGCCCCATCTTCTAATAATCATACTCACTCATTATCTAAATCATCTTCTACTCAAAGGGAGGTCGACGGAACTGTAATTCATCACAATCAAAATGAGACCCCAAGATGCCTTCAAAATAATAACGTCATTCATAAATTCTCCTATTCTAATGCCATTTTCAATAATCCCTGGAAAATAAATTACCCTGATGCTTTCGAAAATAACGTGCTTTCTTCGGCTCAAGGACATAATCATAAAAATATCGACGACACAGCGTGCCATCAGTCACAGTTTCAAGTTCAATCCTCCTCCTATCCTACACAAACATCCATCTATAATCTTCCGCAGAGACTCGGGAATTATCAAAACAATATACTTGTGTACGATAATTTTAATAAAGTTTCCTGCAGAATCAGTAATCCAATTACAAACCAACATTTCTCGAACCCACCTAAATTTGCGAATGATTTAAAAGATCAAATATCCGTTTTAGATGACTTTAATATCCAAAACCGATACTATAACAATAGCCCGAATATTCACAATGTAACTCCTAACAATCAAATAAAGGATAAAAATAATTTAGATTATTACAGTCCTCGCGTATTATCTCATTATTCCTCTCGTGACGAAGATAACGTGCAACAGACGAAGCATTACATTGCCGATAGAGCGAATTGTATAGATTCGATCGTCGAGTCTAATTACCCCTACTTATCTATGAGTATAGGTACAGATAATACTAAGCTCTCATCCTTTAACGACATTCTTTCGAATGGCGGATCATCGATGTACACTGTTTCTTCTCCGTTAAATGGTGTCATAAATGTTGACAGTCCAGTTAACGATAACAGCCCGAATTTCAATAAAACAGTTTCCTTCGCTTCTCCGCTCATCACTGTTGTCGATCAAACAAATTTTTTTGGTGCTGGCTTGTTAGATAACATTAATTTTAATTCGAATCGTATGAACGATTGTGGTAGCAATAGTAATAGTTTGGACAACAACGGTGGTACTTTGGAAAGATTGAGACAAAAATTATGGGATACAACTATAACCAAGCCCAAACCACCCAGCGCCTCTATGACTAATAATGACTATACTGGAAAAGTAATTTATTTATGCATTACTTACACACGGGACAGATATTCTAGTAAAATAACCATCGTAATTTTTTTTAAAATAAATTTCTCACCATTTTTATTTGGTGATGTAAATAGGAGCATAATGGGATTCAACTAAGAATGAGTTTGAATCTGCTTATTCTGAATAAGGATATGCCGATTCAGAATGATTCTCTCTTCTTTCTTTTTTTAAAGAAATATAAAATATTAATTAGTTTTTTGGTAATGGATAACTACTAAGATATTATTTACAGTTATTATTATTTTTTTTAAATTGTATAAAAACGATTTTTTACATATGATCATTATCCATAACGATAATGATTGATTTGAACTAGTGTCCTCTCTTCCTTTCTTTCCGTGAATATAAATTTTTTTTAAAGATTTTTTTTTGAAAAATATAAAAAAATATTTTATATTACATGTTTTTTATAATGAAAATAATTTGAATGTAAGGATGCACATTCCAATTCCAACGTATATCAAAGCAACAAAATTCCTGGAAACAGTTCAAATGTTAGCAATTCATCACAAATGGTTCCATCTTTCCATTTCAATAATATCACTTTATTCAACGTAAAAGGCCTTTTCTTTAAAAAAAATTTTTATAAAAAAATTTATTTATTATATTAAATAATTACCAGTTTTTTCTTCCTTGAATGGAGAAATTTTTCTAAAATTTGAATATCTTATTATATTTAATTTATGGAAAAGAACACGCAAAAATTAATTTTAAAAAAATAATCAAAATAATCGTAGGGTCATAATAACCGTTCAACACATACCCCAAACCAAAATCTGCTTAAAAATTCCTCATTCAAAGATGGTATCTTAAAAAAATCGATGTTAGTCTCCGATATGAATGTTTCTAAAAACGCTAACAAAGTTGCCGATAAAAATAATGTCATCTTGAATGGCCAAAATCTTAATCTCAACAATATAACTTCCAGCGCTTCTGGAGTCAAACTCTCCCACGAAGAGGTATAAAATAATATATATGTATATATTGCATCGTTATTTCTAGAGATATGATTTTATCTTTAGGCTTATCCAAAACAAAAAGTGAATTTGCAAACTTTCTAAACTTTAGTGAAATAAGCTATTTTAAATAATAAAAACATGTTTAAAACATAATTCTATAAAATTTCAAAAATTTAACATATAATTTCATTGATTTTGAAACTTTTCAAATTTTTTTAAAATGGTTTTGGACGCAGCCTTAAAAAAATAATTAAAATTATAAACATTTATTAGGGCTGTGCCTATATTAAATATCGGATCGGCACCGATATTTAGCGTTTTCCAAAAATATCAGATCGGGCCGATACCTGTCAAAACCACGGACCGGTCCGATCTTATTACTTTTCTTTTTTTGTTATTTTATATTATGTATATTTATTTTACATTATTATAATATTTTTTTTTAATTATAGTCTAATTTGTAGAAATAAAAAAAAATTAAATTGAATGCATAATTCGATTTTTTTGCATAAAAAATATTGATATCTTAATTACATTTGGTTCAAAGGGGGTGGTGAAAAATCAATATAAATATCGGATCGGTATCGGAGCCTCGAAATTTTGTTATTAGATCAAAACCTTTATGTTTTCTAAAAGTAAAATCTCCAGGCTGTATAGTAATTTTAAGCTAAAATATTTTGTTCGCCGTTTTAAAAATCTAGTCTTTTAACATCACATATTTACTTTTATTATTAGTAGTAGAAAAAGAACAAAAAACATTTTTAAAACTAAATTATTTATTCTTTCTGAAAAAAATACAATAGTTCAAAAGAACCCTCAAATTAGTAGTTTCAAATGAACGCGACACTAAATTGGCTCTTGAATCATTGAAGGATTTCAAGAGAATAGGGGAGGGCTCTACAGGAACAGTTTATCTGGCCATAGAAAAATCTTCTATCTCTTCCAATTCCTTCCATTCTAATCATAATTCTGCCACGGTATTACTTTATTACATAAAATCATATATAATATATAAGTGAGGTAGATTTTTATTTAACCAATCTCTTAAACGAAATTATGGCATCATTTAAAGGGTCGGCATAATAGGGTAGAGTTTATATAATAGTTTAATTATTATGGTATTAGAATTTTATAGATATGAACGAAAATCTTATTCAATTCGATTGGATCATTTTTTAGAACTAAAATTATTCGACTTATTAATACATGATTCTCTTATTATAAAAACTCCTAATTGAAAAGGAAAGGGTTCAATCAGAAAAGGGGAATATTAATCTTAAAATTTGAGAATTCACTTTTTCATCCCAACCAATTAATTAATAATATAATTAAAACGACCAATTTTATCTTACACTGTGTGACAAATTTCGACTTGATTTTTTGGGAGAAAATAAAATAAACATGTTTTAAGACAGTTTTTTATGCATATTCTAAATCCGCTGTCAGTTTTTTTCTAGCACGTCAGGTTTTTTATTTATTTTAGGTTAAAGTTGCCAAAAAGGTCATTTTTAGCACTTTTTGAAGGTTTATAACTTCGGTTCTAATAATCCCTACAACTAAAATAATATCTCAATTTTTCCAGCAAACCTTCCTTATTATTATTATACATTTTTTTTATCAAATCCTTACTCAATTTTTAAACAACCTATATTTTTTAAATTTACCTTTATTTATATAAAATCTTTTTTAATATAGCTTACATTTAATATATTTATTTATTGTGGCTTTCGTTCTCTTCGCCACACTGCACACGGTACGATTCCCAAACAATTTATTTAAAATGAAATAGTTATATTTCTCATATTTAAATAAATATAATATGCTAAGCTAACCTATCTCATATTTTACTTTCGTCAGGATTGCGATCATTTTGAGATCGCAGCATATCTTAAATTCGTAAATGGAATAATTTATTTTTGACAATAAATATTTCATATTTTCATATGATTCATTTAACTGGTTGGAATAGGCGATGGGAATTGATGGCTTAGAATTTCCGTTATGAAGCAAATCTGCTTTCAAGCTGTTTTTGCTTGAATCGATGAACAAGCGCCATTCATCCGGCACCAATTCAATATTAAGTTGTAAAAAAAGTTGACCTAGATTGTTGGAATAGTATAAAAAATTTTAGTAAGAGAATAAATTTTTAAACGATGCTCCACGGAATCGGTATGAAGTTCGAACTCCATTTTTTAAAATTTTAAAATCATTAAGCCTTTAGGTTAAAAATTCGGACTTTCTTTTTGAAAGTTGTAAATTTCTGTGATGTCATTTAGTTGCTCTTGTGACATAAATGGCGAATCCTCTTCGGGATGATACTCAAGATCAATATTGTCATTGTCCTGGCAACGTAATTTTTCCAGCTACGAACTATTAAAAAAAGGAACTGTTGTATGCATATTATATTTTACCGGATAAATAACCGACGAAATTTCAGGATAACGAATTTTCTTCTTATTTTTTTTGTTAAACCCAAATGTACTAATCGAGCAAAAATAACAATCCCACGAATGATTTCTTGCTACGTGCCAAAAGCAGGTTTCGAATAAGATAAATATGACCGTTTTCCATTTACCCATGAATTAAAAGAATTATAACATGTTTTACATATGTAATTAGGGGCAAATGGTTTATCCAAATCGCAGAGTGGAATATTGTAATAAATTTCATAAATCCTTTGAATGATTGGAGAAATTGGACATTTTTAAAAATTTAGAGACAAACTTTAAACAAGGGGACCTCGACATTAATTTTTTGTAGAATATTATATAAGGAGGGAATTTGAATAATATTTAAAATCCAATTTAAAAAAAAATTAATGAAAGAAATTAAATGTTTATGAAAAATTTAGCCTGAAAAAAAATAATTCTTCTCCTTTCTTCCTACTCGTTATTTGGCATTATTATTAATTGCCCATACTACGGGTTCAAGATACTCCATTGGAAAATCATATATTTTGATATAAATTTATTAAAAAAACAAATATTCTTAAATACATATAAAAAAGATAAATATTAATAAAAAATATGAAAAAATTACCAATTATTGCATTTTAAATGAATTTTGCTTCAAAAATGCTCAATTCAAAAAGAGTACAAATTAAAAAAAGTGGGTACAGATATCTGATTTTGGTATAAATTGATCATATTACTAAATACAACTAAAAAAGATAAATATTACCTTAAATTTGCTTTAAAAATGCTTTATGCAGAGAAAATTAATAAGAGTGTACAAATTAAAAAGTTCGAAAATATCTGTACCGACTTTTTTAATTTATAGATTTTGGTTGAATTTTCGTGGCATAGAGTACTTTTAAAATAATTAGAATTAATATATAATCTTGAGCATATTTTAAGCAAAATTTTATAAAATTTATCTTCTAAAGTTAATAATTTTGACAGTAATTTAAATTGAAAACTAAAGACCCCCAAAACGAAATTCTTTACCATTTTTCTCAAAAACCAATCGATAAAAAATTAAAAAATTAGTAAATTTATAAAGAAATATAGGTTTAACACTATCACCAATTTTCAGGGATTTTTATTCGATACTTTTTAAAATATATCCGTATAAACACCTAAATTTTATCATTTTTGAGATTTTGAAAAGTTGTCTTTATACGGTAATATTTTTAAAACTTGACGTGTAGGGAAAATTATGAAAACGGATTCGAACTCAGCGTCTAATTCTGCACCAAAACTTTTTTTATTTTCTTCTCCCATTTTTCTTGTCACACAGTGTTATTAAACAATTCTGATTTTTGGATTGATCTATTTAAAGATTCAAAGAAATTTGTAATACTCGAAATGTTTTTTTAAACAGGAAAAATTTAAATCCTCTAACCCAATGGACAGATATAACCGTTCGGTAGCCGTTAAAAAGATGGATTTGAGGAAACAACAACGGAGGGAGCTTTTGTTTAACGAAGTTGCTATCATGAGAGATTATCCTCACCCTTGTATTGTCGAAATGTACGGGAGTTATCTTGTTGGCGAGGAATTATGGGTCGTAATGGAGTTAATGGAAGGTGGGCCACTCACTGATATAGTCTTGAGAAGAGCGACTCAAAGAAATGAGGGTTTGTCATTTTAAGTTATCTTTATTAAAAAAATTAATTTTTACATTTGACACTATGAAATATAAATTTTTTTAAATATTTAGTAATTGTCCTTATCAATCAGTTTTACTAGTCTTATTCATATGTGAAAAATATTTTGTGCCTTAAATTTAACATTCAGTGTGCTCTGGCTTCTGTTCCAAACATAATTAGGTATTATCTAACAATTAAATATTTTAGAAAAACTTATTCTACGATAGAGAGACCGGCGCATAGCCAGGAATTTTCTTTGGAGAGACAATTTTTTTTAAAAAATTCTAGAATCTATCCTGGGCTTATTATTGAAAATCTAAAATTTCACAAATTTTAGTAAGACGTTTATAAAAAAATTAGCATAATACCTATAATCCGTTTATTCATTAAAACGCAGTTGTAAAATATTAAATTGTATATGCAGAGTTGTTAAAGTATCTAATTATATCTAGATACAGTATTAAAAGGTTCTATATCTTGATACTATTTTAGAGGAATCTGTTAGATACATTTTGATGATTTTATTTTACGTTTTTTATATTAAAATACAAAAACAAACATGATTAATTTTATTTTACACAATGGATGACGATAACATGATAAATTTTATATTACATTTGTTTTATTTATGTTAATTTAAAAATATTTATCATATTCTTATATCAATAGTTCTAGACAATCTCTAAAAAGAAATCAAATAATTTAATATTAGATTTAAATATTGATATAAGTTTTGACACATCAAATTTTGAATAATTTTTGGGATATTAATATATTTAATGATTAATACCAATAAAAAGTTGTTATTCATTAAATATAACAACTACTCTGCCATCAAGTACCGGTAGGAAGGTATTAATATGGCTAAAAATCTTTATTATAAAAATTTTGAGAATGTTTTACTACTATTAAAATGTAACGATTGTTTATAATCATTTAATTATGTATTTTGTAGCACACCTTAAATAAGCATATGAAACATTATATTTATACCTAGATATATTTTTATACGATATATCTGTATTTAGATAAGAGTATCTTTTTAGTTTTAACTGATTATTTTCATAACCCCCTGGCTGGGGATAGTTTTCGGAAATCTCGGTTTCGTCATTTTTAGGATTCTCTAAAAATGAACCTATTATTTAACTATAAATCAATGAAAAATTTTTTCATGAAATTACTCTTAGAATCAAGAAGTGCTTCATTTATCTAGCTTTACAAAAAACTATCCAAAAGTAAGATTAAGTAATTTATTTTACAATATTCTTCTACTGATTCTACGTTATTATTTGAACGATGGTCTTTATGCAAGTGGTATGCGAATATCAGATTCACGAAGCTCTTGCTCGAACTCAACAATTCATGATTTATGAAAGTTGCTCTTCACCATTTTCCAATTTTTTTTAACTACAATTTTTATATTTGAGGATTTTTGAAAAATTTTGCATAAAATATTAATTTATTTAAAAAATTTGTTGTAAATAAAAGAATTGGGTTTCATAGTTTAAAAAGGGTTCTCTTTTGACAAGGTGTGATTCTTTTTCAGATCTTTCTGTCATTTCACTAAGATCATTTATAGGCTTCGCTGGCTCCATAAAATAAATGACTGATTAATAGTGAAGGCTTTTATAAATTTTAACTAAAATCTGTATTTTTTGGCTGTGGGGGATTTCCCCACCACGTCTCTCTATCGTTATCTACATCCTTGGATAGAAAAGACCATAAAATACCTTTAAAGGTAGTACTAATATTACTCAATGTTGAAGCTATATAGTCGGCTATGACTGTTTAAAAATAAGACGAACAATTTTTTTTAAAAATATTCATCAAATTTACATATAACGTGAATATTTTTAGGAACCAACAACTCTACGAACCTAAATAACAATAATTGCATTCCTAGCATAGGGCCCGTTATGACCGAAGAACAAATAGCCACCGTTTGCAGATCGTGCCTCAAAGCACTTGCTTTTTTGCATTCTCAAGGCGTTATTCATAGAGATATCAAGAGCGACTCTATTTTGCTTACAAAAGATGGGAGGGTAATTTGCAATATTTATTTTAAATTATTTTTGTTATTTATCTAGTAAATAAGTAATTAAATACCTAACCAAGATTATAATTATATTAAAAATTATTATTTCCCATAAAAAATAGAGTATGTATTAACTATAATATAACAAAGAACGATTTATTATATTTTGTAAGCAGGGACCTGAGACGACCTTAAGTATAATTATAGAATGAGAATTGAGCCTTTGTATTAAACTATTGTGATCAATTTAAAAAATAAAACCACGATTTCTTAAACAACATAATACTATATCACCTTTTAATGTTTTTCATAATAGTTTTAAAAATATATTTTACACCGGTCCTAAGGTAAAGCTCTCGGATTTCGGGTTTTGTGCCCAGGTTTCGCACCAATGCCCCAAACGTAAATCATTGGTTGGTACCCCTTATTGGATGTCTCCGGAAGTTATAGGCCGATTGCCTTACGGGCCAGAAGTGGACATTTGGTCTCTGGGGGTAATGGTCATTGAGATGGTTGATGGAGAGCCTCCCTTTTTCGATAAGCTACCTCTTCAAGCTATGAGATTGATCAGAGACACTCATCCACCTAAACCCAAGAATTGCGATAAAGTTATATTATTATATAAAAAATTTAATTAATACTTTACTGTTCGAATTTCGTTGATTATCTCATGTATTATATCATATTAGTCATAGATTTTTATTATTAATCTTAAATTGGGATAAGGATAGTTATGGAGGGGTTTTGGATAATATATTAATATTGGTATTTTTATCTAACATAAGTACTCCCAGCTATATTTTATTAGGAGGTTAAATTAGTTCTATTAAATTATATTACATCCGTTTATATGATTTTGTGAATGAGTTTCTGAGAAGGTATAATTTTGAACGATTTATATTTTTCTATTTTTTTAAAATTAATAATGATATAATTTAAAATCGTTTATTCAAATTGTAGTTAAGCCTTAGACTTTTGAATTTCTTAGAGTTGATGCTTATCAGGGATCCCCACGATAGAGCTACTGCTCAAGAATTGCTTCAACATCCTTTTGTGTGTTTAGCTGGGCCACCTGAATCATTGATTCCTTTAATGCAAAATTTTTGATATAATCTCTAGAAAAATATCTTTATTTTTACATTGAATATTGAAAATCGTTTTTGTAAAGTACTATTTTTAATATCTAATATGAAAAACAAAATCTCCTTATAACACATTTATATTTTTTAAAGATATTTATTTAAAATTTTTTTTAATATTTTTTGATATAATATTGGATTTTTTAAAAAAAATTGTATTTGATAAAATATTTTTTTATAGCCTTCTATAAAAACCCCAATCATAAATATTTTTTGAAAATATATTGAATTATATGATATATTTGATAAAAGATTTACGAAAAAAATTCTGAGGATTTTTGTACAATATAAAGATAAAATATAAAGAATCGAGTAAATAAATTATAAAGCAAACAGGAGCAATAATTTTAATGATCATGCTAGGGCTAAAGTAGGCAAATAGAGTGTAGTTTTCAAATATCTGAAATGATCGTTGTTGTTGTTAATAGGATTACTTAACTTAATCTACTTATAATACTTATTCAAGCATATAGGATTTTATTATAATTTTTATTTAGTGTTCCTTTTTTTCTGCTAACTTTAAAATAAATAAATTTTATCAGATTTAAAGAATAATCTTTTATTTCTTTGTATACATTTTTTAATTTTTTAAAAAAATATTTAATCAAGGAAATAAAATTGGTAATAGAATAACCTAAATTGTGTAAGTGAAATTAGGTGTATTTCCATTAGCAAACGATATACCGAATACATACGCATACGCAGGAATTTGGTCTGGGGGGGGGATAATAAAATTTTTTAAGAAATATTATTGTTTTTTAAAAATATCAAGCATAAATTTATTAGGAATAATAACTATTTCTAATACACAATTTTAAATTAATGTGAATTATTAAAAAATTAATGTAAAGAATCACTTAAATGACCCAAAATAAAAATTTGAATTTTTTTATCTTTAAAATTTATATATAAAGTATAAAAAATTTAAATGTTAGAAATATAAATTAATACACAAAAAGCTTAGGGAATAATTGTATTTTGTATGTTATATATTTACAATGTAAAATCCAATCTTCGTTAGGATTGAGCTAATTTTTCAATTATCTCATCCTTGCTTGTTGTCAAATGTCTATGAATATTCAAAAGATCCAAACCTTTCAATCTACTTTCAAAAGTTGTACTTCTTGGTATGTTTTTCAGACGGACCGTATGGCCGGGCCCGAAATTTTTAAAAAAAACACCCGGGCTGAGCCTAAATTTAAAAAAAAAACATCTAGGCCTGGCCTGAAAATTTTTTTTAAAAAAATATCCTTGCCGGACTGTATATTTTAAAACAGCCTATATTTGAAATCGTTATTATTAGCTATAAAAATCAAAAATAAATATAATTTATAAAAAAATCCGGGTCGGGCCTGAAAATTTTATTTAAAAAAAGGCTGGACCGGGCCTGAAAATTGAGCTTAGCCGTAAAAATCTTTAAAAAAATCCGGGTCGTGCCCTGCAAATGGTACTTCTGCAGGGCTCTGTTATTCTTAAAAAAGAGAATGTTCTCTCATTAGTTTACTATAGGAAAGAGTTGCTAATATATATAAACCCTTTTAATACATTGGGAATGTAATCTAAAATGTGTTTGAAATAATGCAGAGCATCCATAGCATTTTTTGGGACTGTATCAACCATAGTTAATCTTATAAACATAGTTATTCAGCTAATAAGGCATCATAAGATACTTTAACATCTTCATGATAAAAATCCAACAAATATTTTTTTTCTATCACCATCTGAAAAAGGTTGGGAAGGCTTTTATGGAAATAATATTTGCAGATTGGTAAGTGCTGCATAATGAATTAAAAACCATTCATTTATTTGGTTTATAAATGTATTTGTATCTAAGATATACTCTTCTACTGATCCTATATTAAAGTTTTAACTATGAGCTTGCCTTACTGCAAGTCGAGTGAGACAAATATTAAACACGTATAGCTCTGTTTTTGACTTAACAATAACATATAAAACATGAAATTTTTCATAAACATTAGCCCTAATTTCCTTGAATTCTAATAAAATGCTCTCCGCTATTCTCATCTTCTTAATCAAGTCATCATGTTTTTGAAAAGTAATACATAAAATAGTTGTACATTCTAATGAGAAAAAAAAATTTGGAATAAGCATTGAATCCAATAATTTTCTTGCTTTTAAGGAAAAATTTCTTTCAGGCCATTGTGATATGTCAGTAATAGCAAATAATCGGCTCTTCTAACTCCATAAAAGCTGTTACTGCTTGATGGCGGAGACTTGATCTCGTAGGACAAGGTTGCAATTTCTTTCTCCCTGTTGGACAATTTCAGAATAATTATTAATTGACTAGAAATTTAAAAATGGTAGATAAATATTACGCCACTAAAAATTTGAAAATAATAAGATAATATTACGCCGAAAAACTTGAAATCGAAATTAATTGATAAACTTAGTGATGAATGTGATAATAAATGTAATTAAATATATAATTAATATGAGATAGGAATAAATATTAACAAATATAAATTAATATGTACTGTGTAAATTTAATTCAAAACATTTCCATATTTGTTAATTTAATTGAAAATAAAATCATTTGACTTGTAAAAAGTTGTTAAAATAACATATTTTATATTCTTATCAATTTTTACAAGTTAAAATTTTTATTTACAAAAGAAATTAAAAAATATGGAAATGTTTAAATTAAATCTGCACAACACTCCAAACAAAAATATTTTTGAAAAATATATCCGGCATCAATTTTTTGGCTTGGGGGGAGGGGAAGGATTTACCCCCCCCCCCCCGCTGCGTACGCCAATGACCGAATATATTTAAAAATAAATTAGAAAATCATAAAAAATTTAACAAACATTACGTTATACAAACAAATATAACGGTTATGGAGGCTCTTCGTTATATTTACAAATAGGAAGAATCATAAGAGCATTATGCTATTTGTAACTGCCCGACTCTGATATTAGGAATATGTATATGAAATCTTCATTGGAATAAATGGTATATAGACAATTAAGTTATGGGAATAAACAAAAATGGAATGACATAATATTTCATCCTTCTCTCTAAATCTTATGCAAGCATGAATGAAGGCAGATTTATCTTAAAATAAAAAATATTGAAAATTTTATAGAGGTTACCTGCGATTTTAAAATAAGAGGAATTCATGGTAAATGAGCCTCAATACTATATTCCATTCTCTGGGAATGCTTGCAAAAATATATAACCATCAGAGATATGTATTTCAATATTTTTTCACACCCGACCTGGACACTCATGAAGATAAGAAAAATATTTACGCTCGGTCGAATTCAATTTTCTACAAATCCACTTATTCACCAAATAATATTTAACTACGACGTTTAAAAAATTGTTATTAACTTTACAAATCTTTTGTGAGTTAGAGATAAAAATCTAACCATTCGTTGACTAGACGGGGACATTAATTGAATTATTATTTTGATCTAGATTTTTTTGTTGATTTATTATTTTCTCTAAACAATATGTAAAATATGGTATATTTTTGATGGATACTTTTTGAGACATCATTGATTGTTGATCATTTTTGGGCGATTCATAAATTTTTGAAAAGCTCTGATTTCAAATACGAAATTAATATTTAAGCTAGAAATAAGAATAAATTCCATAATTTACTTGATGTTAATATTTTAATATATAAGATAAAAAATTTATATTTTTGTTACTTTTTATTGATTTATAACTACCACCTGTATAATAACTTATGATTGGGTTATTTCATATCAAATGAAAGGTGATTTTCGGTCGATTCCCTTTTTTTTAAAAAATATTTGATAAGCAAAAAAAGAAAGCTAAGAAATAGCCAAAATTTTCTTACTAATCATGATCTGAACTGAAACGTTATTGGTTTAGTTCAGGTTTCGATAAAATAATGATTTAAGGTTCAGGTTCGGTATGTAATAAATAAAAATATTGATTCGAACCTCTAAAACCCGGGTTGAAAACTATATATTCAAAAATATTACATTTTGTTGTAATACTATATGTAAATAATTTATATATTGGATTGAATTTATCTCTAGGCATTATAAACTAAAAAATGTGAAATGACAATATGCAAAGGTTTATAAAAATTGATTGATAGCAAGCTTTAAAACAATTCGGATATAAATTATTATTTTAGCAATATACTTGTAATAATTTTTACATTATTTTATAAGCAAAAAATAATGAGGGTAGAACCGATTCGCAGGCCTTTTAGTCGTTCGTATAGAAATTGATTTAAGTGTTCAGATTCGGCAAATATACCGGTTTAAAGGTTAGGATTAGATCCTGCTCCTAATATTTAGGTAAAAATGACGTATTTTCATCATTATGTGCTTTCATTCAATTAATCATATCCTAAAAACGAGTTAAAATGGCCTAAACTATTTAATTGTAAATAAGAAATTTAATATCAAAAAAAAAATTCCCAATCCCCGACCATTTTATTTATTATATAAGAATTACAAACGATTTTTTGGAAATAATACTATCTTAATTTTTATTGAAATGCGTTCAGCTTTATTCTAAAATCGTTAAAAATAATTAAAAAAGTTAGTTTTATATGAAAAATCAATAAAGGTAAATGGGCCATTCCATGTCAACTCAATCATGATTCGACCGACCTCTTTAAAATTGTTAGAAATTTCTGGAATTATTTGAATCGGTTAAAAAATGAGAAAACCGTTTATTTTTACTCGCTAGCACACCTGGATCTAGGGCTGGGAAATAATATTAAAAACCCAAGATTAAAAAAATATTAGATTGGTTCAGAATATTGATATTGGGTTTAAACAATATTTTCTTTTACTGGTATTGCTATTGGTTTATATTGGCATTGGTTTAATTTCAAATTATTAATAAATTAAGAATAAAATAGCGATTTTTAAAAACCTTGTTTAAATAAATATGGAATAGTGATTTAAAAAATTCCTTAATTGTATTTTTAAATATATATATGGGAAAAAGCTATGAGGCAATATTGTTTTAGAGAACCGAAACTAGATATTTTTCCTGATTTCTTTTTAAATGATAATTTTGAATTCTAAAAAAGATATTTGCAAATTTATGATTTAATCAATAATTTATCACATAACGATACTCAGCTAGTCACAGTATCATTTTCAAACTTTTATTCCACACAAAATATAAGAAAAAGAACAGTGCAAAGAATTAGTAATATTATATAAAGAAAATAAATATATATTTTTGAGATTCTTTTGATCATCAAACTGTTTAGACACAGATATGCTTGGATAGTAAGTTCATCTAGTGAACAACGTTGATCAGTTATAACATAACGCCCTCTGAAACCATCCTTTAAAAGTAAGTCGAGGTTGCTGGAATTGTCAGATAATCTTTGGCGATTATTGATAATATAGGATATATATTTCGGTGTATCTAAAGACATTCAGATTTTTTGGAATATGTATTTTTACCAAAAATTGAAATTTTCATTTTTTGGCTATAAAATTATGGATTATGTGCAGCGTCTACATGACAAGATTTTTACTGGATGCAAACCCCCTTCAAAAATCTTTACCTACCCCCCCCCACCCTAAAAAATTCCCACCGCTTTCGGCGTCTTTGTCTCTTTATTGTTATTTTCACCTATTTATTTATTGATACTATTTTCAAAGAATTTATAAAGGATAACTTAAATTAATCTATCTCTACTACTACCAACTTTCGATATTTTGTGAATATTTTTTAGATAATAAATTCAATTAAAACCTCCATTATTTACAATGAATTAATTATTATGGCATTATGAGTTTGCTAAAATATCTAAACCTTTTAAATTACATTTAAAAGGATAGTTTATTTGGAAAATAATGTGTATTATTGTTTCCAATATATAGATTTGGTCGATGAATTGTATTATAATAATACTATAATAAAAGTATTAATTTTTACAGCATTAAATTTTTCCTATTTCATCTCAAAATTTAATAGATAACCCGCCAAAAAATTTATCCCACCCATTAAAGCAGCTTACCCCCTACCTCCTCAGAAAAATAGGATGCAAACTGTTCCTACCCCTCCCGCTCATGTAGACACTGATTACAAGGAACCTTATCCATAAATATAAGAAATAGATTTAGAACATTAAAAATGTTGAATTCCTTTTTTGTCTATTTCATTATATTTATCTCTAAAATATATATTTATAATGCAACGATAGGAAAATGGCAAAATTGTGAAAAATATTACCATATTTTATACAAATATATATATATATATTACTAGTATGGCCATTCATTCATTAAATGGATTTAGATGTGATACATACATAGAAGTAGGCTTAAGAGCCATTTTGTGATTATCACGTTGATTAAATAACATTAATGTGCATTCATAATAATATATAAAGACAATTATCTGACGTGCAACCTTTAATTAATGAATCGCCAATCTAGTGTTATATTATATATCATTGATTTTATAATATAGATAACTTACAACAGACTAAATAATGCATTAACAGTAAGTTTGTATGTATGTTAATGTAATGAGAATGAGAGATAATTTATGATGACAAACCAGATATTATTACACTAGAAAAGATTATTTAAATTTTGGCTGGAAATGAAAATGATAACAGATTAAAAATGGCAAAAAAATAAATTGCATTATATATTTAAAAGCTAAATAGAGATCCTAAGAATAATCCCGAAATAATTCAATTTCTCGAGCAAATTTATCGAATAACCTTATGATTACATCCAGCGTCTACATGACAGGATTTTCATTGGATGCAAACCCCCTTCAAAAACTTTTGCCTACCCCCCTAAAAAATCCCCGCTGCCTTCGGCGGCGGTGTCTCTTTATTTTGACCTTTATAATTATATTGATACTCTTTTCAGAGAATTTATAAAGATAACTTAAATTAATCTATCTCTACCAACTAATTTTGTTTATAAAGAATTTATTTTATAGATAATAAATTCAATCAAAACCTCCATTATTTACAATGAATTAATTATTATGGCATTATGAGCTTGCTGATATATCTAAACCTATTATAAATTTAAAAGGATAGCAGAAAGTTTTATTTGGAAAACAATGTATATGATTGTTTGCAATATATAGATTTGGTCGATAATTGTATTATAATAATTCTATAATAAATATATTAATTTTTACAGCAATAAATTTTATCCTATTTCATCTCAAAATTTAATAGATAACCCCCAAAAAATTTATCCTACCCCCATTAAAGCAGCTTACCCCCTACCCTCTCGAAAAAATAGGATGCAAACTGTTCCTACCCCTCACGCTCATGTAGGTGATGATTACATCAATACCCTTATCTGAAAAAAATCGATAGGCCCATGCGAACAAGGGGTTTGAAGGGTTATCTATAAGGCCTCGTCAGAAATTTATTGTAAAAGGGGAATAAACTTTATAAAATTAAAAAATAAATCGAAATTCTTAATCTTAACGTATGTGATATTTATCTCAAAATAAAAGTAAAACTAATTGTAAAAACAAAGAATCGGTAAAAATTATATAAAAAAATAAAAATATAGCAATATTAGTTTGAGCATTTTGAATTAAAAAATTAATTTATTCCATAGAGTAAGCTGTCCTACACCTAACTCATAACTAGACAGATAATTTATTCAAACATGTTTTTTTTTAAAATAATATTAGCAACATATGTTGTATAGAGGTAATTTATAAATTTTTATATATAAATAATGAGTTAAAATATTAAAAGGTAAATAATCCAAACAAATTAAGTCCCTGTCAGTCATTAATTAAATTATTTGATGTTCGATATGATTCATCTATAATCTATTTATCCATATGTTAAAAAATAGTGTGAAAATATTTTATAACAAACGTTTACTTCATATATCATTACCTCAGTTGCATAAAGATGTGTATAATCCATTTCCTGAATATAAAGAACCCTCTTTACTTCAAAAGATCAAAGGCTTAAAACAATTTCCAGAAGAATTAAAAAAATTGAAGGAGGAAACACAAAATTTATTTAGAAATTGTAATGACCATTTTCAAGATAGTCATGGGAAAACAGAAGTTTTGTTTGATTTTAAAGATGAAGATAGTTTATCTAAATGGATCACTAAATCTGATATAGATTTTGATCTTGGAAATAGTATGTGCAATTTGAGCATGACTAAAAATAAAACTGGCCTGTTTACTGGGTATATTAATTCAGCCTTACCCCAAGATGGTCGAGTGAAATACACTGGTTTTTGTTCAATGAAATCTATGAGGCGTTTAGTAATAGATAAAATCATATTTATGTTTTTTAATTTCTCTAGAAAGCTTTTTATAAAAAAGATCCATATTATATTGGAGAATCAACTCATATTGCTCTAAGAGTAAGGGGAGATGGTAGAAAATATTCATTTGTTGTAAATACTCCAGGTATATTTGATCTCACTTATTACGATCAATATATTTATCCAATATATACAAGAGGAGGTCCATATTGGCAAACTGTTTTGGTAATAAACAATTTAATTTATATATAATATACATCAGATATTTACAGCTTTTTTTATTTAGGATATCTTTATTATTTTTAAAAAAATCTAGATAATGCATGTATATATTTATAATATATAAAATCAAAAAAAAAAATTCCCATGAAATTAAATATACATCAAAATTTTATTTCCAGAGTGACCTATTAAAATTTTACAAAAAATAAGAGATTTGTTAGGCACTTATTAAAATTTACTAAAAATTAAAGATTTATTATGCACATGTTAAAATTTTCTAAAAATCAGAGATTTGTGAAGCACTGTCTGACTTTTCCTGTATATATTATCAGGCACTTAAATTTTCCAATGATTCCATGTCAATTCAGCAAAGCTTTTTTTGCAAAACATTTTTCGCAAATGTATTTTATATCTATACTAATCATTGAAGACTATTTTGTGAATTAAAAATTTGCAATATTAGAACTTTTACCATTAACTCTTTTGAGCAAATACATAATAGCTAAACTTTGTATATATAATTGCGATTTTATATCAAAGTAATTATCACGAAACTTAAATTGTAAAGATAATATAAAGAAAAGGATTTTACAAATTTATTTTAACAAAAACATTTGAATGCAGAACTGCAATAATTGCTAATGATGTCTATTTTATTTTAAAACATTTATTTTTATATCCTCTATATTAATTTAATAATATTTTTTTTAAATAATAAATTTATATGATTCTCGAGCTTAGAAATGGTTTAGAAAATTTATTATATTTGAATATAATTTTTTTATGCTATCTTGTCCCAGTGGCGTCACTAGGGGGCGCCAGGGGCTCGAGCCCCCTAAAAAATTTGAATAACCCCCTGAAGCAAAAAATTTTTTTTAAATGGAATCTTAACCCCTTGAAACTAAAAATAAATTTTTTTGATTGACCCCTGAACGATTTCTTTTATAATTCTAATAAGTAATATATAGATTTAATTTTATTATTTAAAAATTAATAAGACTGTCTAAATTTTTATTAAATGAATATAATTTTAATTATTAGATTAGATTAATACACATAAATTATATTTTCACTATGTCAGCTTGCAATCAAATTCTGTGTTAAAAATTGAATATCAATATCACTCACTAAATATTAATTTAGCATTAACAGTTGAAGCTTAATTGACTATTATTACTTAAATTATTATATAACCTTAATTAAATAAATATAATCAATTATTAATTGAAAACTAACAAATTTAATATTGTAATTAGCCTAGTTCAAAATGACTAATCAACTGTATATTTATTTTTAATTTAAATTATACCTATTCCTAAAATTATTTTTAAGAACTAAATAAGTTCCTTTATAAAAATTAAATAAATAGACATATAGTTTATAATTCTCTATTATATAGTTTTGGTTATAAAATATTAGATAAAATGCCACTTTTATAGACGTATTTGACAGTTATATAATATATTACAGTTAATATTATAATAAATTTTACTAATAAATGTTTTTGATAATAAATATTGTAACAATTTGTATTTAAGTATTTAACGCCATCTTTATTTAAAAATAATTTTAAATTAAACATTTTATTATTCATTCTACAATGTGTAATAAATTAAATATCTTTTCTTCTCTTCTTTTACGTGTTTTTAAGAAAGCTATTTTTTTCTTTTTCAAAAAACAGTTTTGAGTTAAATTTTTAATACAAGTATATTTTTGATATTATTACAAACTACTATTTAAGATACAACATACCAAATAGAGGTGGTGCGACAATATTATATAGAATCTTAATTGTTTCATCATATCATTCTGGTCCTTATTTTATAGGTATAAAATGTTTCATTTCTAATATGGCATCCTTGCCGTGTAAATAACTCAAGGCTTCAACATATTTGCATAATTATTTCTTCCTAAGATTTTTAGTGTTTTTATTTTATCAATTTATTTAACTAAATAAATTCAGATATTAGTTTACATTGTGAGTGTCATGGCTATGACTGCAAATTAACCAGCATCTATTATTTGTGTTTATGTAATTTAAGATTATTACTACAGCTGCTGAGAGCTTATAATTGCATATTTTAGATAAACAATAATAGTAAACTGTGTAGTCGTTTATATCATTAAAAATGGAAGATAATCTTTTAGAAATTTAATATCTCACAATAATATTCTCGATTATTTATTTAGCTTCCATCATGTCATCTAAGAGGAAGCTCTAACCACCATATAGTTTTATGATTTGGATTGGTCGTTTATCTCTTCTTCAATAATTGTTAATTTGGTTTAGGCCTATAAATTTTTCCTTATTAGTCCATTCTATAAAACATTGTCTAAAATGGTAACAGAAGTTATATTAGTTTCATAACCTTTTGTCAATGTAAGTTGCTAAGAATTATATTATTGCATTATGTGGTTTTTAAAAACTATTATCAATCGAGGCATATGTATGAATAAATTAACCTTTTTTATCACTTGTAATTCTTTAGACACAAATTTTTTTATATCAGCAATCGAAAATATTTTATATTGTAATAAATAGATTTTGTATTAAAACATAATATTTTTAGAAATGTCTTGTATTGTTTTAATTATTTATGTCAGTAAGTAATGTTAAACGGCTCGTTTTGAGCCGATTTTTAAAAACGGCTGACTCAATATTTCATCTAGATATTACGCAAGCCTGAAGATTTTGTTTTTAGAAGGAACAAAGGTTTGGACATCTATTAGAGAAATCTCGAGGCTTAGGCAATATTTTTCTGGCTATAATATTAAGTTAGCCATTTATAAAAACCAGCTCAAAACGAGCCGTTTAACAACACTAAGCCAGTTTATTTTGTATGCATAATATAATAAATGACAAAATATTAAATTTAGAATAATTGTTCAGAGTTAACAAATTTTAAAAATGTATAATATACTAATATAGAACCCAGCCGAAGACCGGGCAAAAGCAGGCCGAAGGCCCGCAAATTGGGGGCATGGGGGCGAAGCTTCCACAAATTTATTTTTAGTTGAGCCCCCTGAAATTGTAAAGGTTAGCGACGCCCCTGTCTTGTCCTATGCATTTCCTCGAAATCTTATTTTATAAGAATTACGCTCTAAGAACCCTAGCTTTAAGAATATATTAATCATTGGGCTCATTAGGTAGCCTTGATTCTTACTGGTGAAAATAATATCTGGGCTTGCCCCAATATTTATTGCCTGTATTTATTAATTTATCAATGTTTTGCGTCATTAAACAATGACCCTTTGGAGAACCTTAACTTCGGAATCCAACTAGCTTTCTATGCCTCAGCCAGGATGTATATCTCTGAGCTACCAAGCCACAAAAAAAAGAGATATATTTTATATATAATCATTTTCATTTAATAATTATCAAAATAATCTGATAGCGAAAAAATTTATTATTCATATTTAATTTTTAAAAGTTTATAAAAATTTCAGATAGTAGAAGTTACATTTTATAATATAACTTCTTATTAGTTTTCATATAAATACCCTTTTCTAAATTTAGAGAATATTTTTAGCCCCACTCCCATCCTCGTGACATAAATTTGAGGATTTAGCATTCTATTTTATTTAGCTTAAAATTTACAGCCCCCCCCCCTTCCCCCTAAGGTATAAATTCTACAAGCAAAAAAATGTGTAAATAATATAAATAAATAAAATAAACATTTTTTTATTCAATATTTTGATTTAATATTTTTTTCCCTAATGACTGATCATTTTTTAGATTTAATGAGCTGTTATCTTTTTATTTAGGCTGTATCCAAAATCTAAAAAATATAAATAAATAAATTTTGAAGAATAACATAACCTATTTTTTGCGTCATTTACAAAAATTAATTTTTTTTAAAAAAATAATAGAAATTAATAAATTTGAATAAAAATTTATTTATTTGGGTAATTTTTATGAAAAAACTGTAATATTAAAGTACGCAAGGTCTAAAAGTCGAAAGGCTTGGTATACGAAAGGCTAAAAAATAATATTGAAAATAAAAATAACAAAGAAAATATTTAATGAGATATTTGATTGATTTATTGCTTTTTTTAGAGAAAAAATATTATAATAACATTACATTATAATATATGGAAATTTTAAGATCTTTTCAATTTTTTTATTAATTCTTTGAAATAATTTGCGGTTTTTAAAAATTAATTTATAAATTAATATTTTTAATTAAATTAATATTTTTAATTAAATTAATATTTTTAATTAAATTAATATTTTTATATTAAATTAATATTTTTAATTAAATTAATACTTGGTTATGATTTTATATATTAAGTAAGTATAAATATATTGTAATTACTTGATAAAGAAGTAAATGAGAAACATAAATTTTTTAAGGTATTTTTAATTTGAGAAAGCATTTAAGAGGAGAAAGGCTAACATCTTAAACGTAATTTTGAGTATAATTATATCATTGAACTCAGAATTTAATTCTCTATCCAAAACCGCTTAGATGTATTTTTTTACGTTTCTGGTTCACAAAATAATTTTCATGTCGCGAAATTTTAACGGGGAAAGGCTAAAATCTTAAACGTAATATTGAATATAATTATAGCATTAAACTCAGAATTTTATTCTCTACCCAAAATCACTTAGATGTATTTTTTTACGTTTCCGGTTCACAAATATATTTTTATGTCGCGAAAGCATTTTAACGGGGAAAGGCTAACATCTTAAACGTAATTTTGAATATAATTATATCATTGAACTCAGAATTTAATTCTCTATCCAAAACCGCTTAGATGTATATTTTTACGTTTCCGGTATTTAGCCACTGTTGGAGAATATAGATTATCAAACAGCATCAATTGTCTTGAACCATCTATAATGAGAAATCGAAGTAAGGAGGATTGTAGAGGTAAAAATAAAGGCTGTAAAATAGATAATCTTAGTAATAGATAGTTATGGTTTTAGGCCACCATGGCTTTATTCATATGCAGCACAATTTTTTTTAAATTATCATAGGTCCGAAAATAATTTCTGTTTTTGAATTTATTAAATACCACGTGATACCCAAAACACCTAACCATATACAATGATAAATTTTTAAAATATTTTACATTTATTTCTCAAGATTAATTCTATTAAAAGTGAATTTTTGCGCCAACAACGGGCTTATAGATTCCATTATTTTTATGGATGTTTTATTGATATAAATATACCATTTATATAGAAATAATTTATATAAAAATGACAAAATATGAAATTATTTGAATTATAAAAAATTCGTAAATTTTAAAATTAATTTTAAAAGTTTTTCCTAATTCTATTGCATTATCATATAGAATTGATTTAAATACATATATAGCCAATGAATACTTATTCTATATTATTATATAAATATATTATAATATATCATATTAGCAAGCATAATTTGATTGATCCGACTAGCCCTGATTCTACTAGCCCCTAGTTAATAATATAATTAATACCTTCTAATAATATTTTTAAGCATGATATACGATTACGAAACTTTCTGATATGCGAAAAGAGGGTTTTAAATTTCATATAATGTCAATTTTATTATTTTTATCATATTATAATGCAATCTAATGTGGTGTAAAAGCATTTTTATTTTTTCCTTAAACGTATTTCATCATAAAAAAATTTAAATAGCTGAGGAATATAAAATATTTTTCGTCTCAATATACATATAAAATTCTATTATATAATTAAATTTTAATCTCGAAACCCATCTGGTTTTTGAATTAAATCCGCTGAACTGACAAGCCCTATTGCGCCGAATCGCCCTGGTCTCCCCTAATTCTCCAAAACTAAAACTATTACAAACTGAAACATCTCTTTCTTTGGAAACAATTATAAATGTATCTTATCCAATAGAATATTTTTAAACTTTTTTATTCATAACTCTGCAGTTAGTTTTACTTATTGAAATACGAAAAGAAGCAAGAAGGGGTGGCTAAAATCTTTAAATGAATTATTATATCAGAAAGTTGTATCGATGTGCATTATATGAAAAAAAATAATACTAGGAAGGCATGAAAGAAAATGTGGTATGAATTATCACGAAACCTTTTTTAATATATAATATTAGACGTTATATTAATTTACATTTTAGGTTTATATATTGTTCGAATAACTAAAATTTATTAAATATTAAAATTTGCCCTTTTGCAACGCATTTAAGTTCCCGAAGTTCAGATAAAGAACCAATAATTTTCTCTAATTTATACAAGAAAAAGTCAAAAAAAAACTCGGAAAAATCAATAAATTTTTTTAAAAAAAACATAATTCTAACTTATCAAAATCGTTTATAATTTCTAAAAAAATTCTGAAAAATCCAGTAATTTTTTTTAGCTTTCATTGTTTTTTTTTATCCTTGAGCAAATAAGAAAAATCTAAGCATTTTATTTAGTATATTTGCTAAAATTTACTTTTAAGTGCATAAGGTGCATTTTTTTTTAATTTTCAAAATTGGAGGGTGGATAAATATTGGGGCAAGAAGTTGAACCAAAATTCTTTCTCCGGACTTACGGCCATGTGAGTTTTTAAATTTCAGCCAACTTGCTTATTTAATAGGCAATAAGTAACGAATTTGAAACATTTAGCGCTTATGATTTAATAACCTATGTGGATAAATTATTATTGAATATGTTGTTTTTCTTTTTAATAAATGCATTCCTATATATTCATTTTTTGCGGTAATGCTCTCGCAAAAACTTGCACAAATACATTCGTGATAAAGGTTTCGCTATAAAAGTTTTGTTAAAATATTTTCACTTCAAAGTGTTACGGTTTAGGTTTTGCGGAAATAAATTCGCCATATTATCTTCGTTGTAAAGATGTCGCGGAATTTGTTCATTCTAAAATGCCTCCGCGATAAACGACATTCGCAATAAAAGTTTCACTGAATTGACCTTATGCACAAATTGCCTGACCCGATCCATTAAATTTGTTTGTTCGGCCTGACGCACAGACTAGGCTTTCGGATAGGCCGAGCTTTGCAAATATATAATACACTTAATTGAATACAATAATTGAATATATTTTTTATATAAACAGATCCCATTTTCAAAATTAGTCCTTTCATCTAAGGGTAGGATTCAAGATCAACAATCACGAATAAATGACTTTTATGTTGATTCCTTTGGAATTAATATATATGATGGAAATGATGGACCTTTTAGCCTAGAAATTGATTATTTAGCTTTCTTTAATGATGCATATCATAGGGAACATTTTGCCTATGAATTATACAGAGTGCCTACTGGAGTTAAGAGTTAAAACAATCATAGCATAATTTTTTTTAAACTTATTATTTAAGAAGCTGCTAGTTATTATGATTTTGTAAATTAATAGCATTTATACTATCATTATTATTTGTATTTATAAAATAAAAGAATTTTTGATCGAACATTGTATTGTAATATGCTTGTCATTATATATTTTTCATTCAAAAGCATGATTTTTTCTTGAAGAAAAATTACCACGAAAAACTGGGGAAAAATTGGCCCTGAAATTAATTCGGGAAAATATACTTTGGAAAATAAATTCACAATTTTATTAGAGCCTAAAAGTTTCTTTTTTAGAAAATCAACGAAAATAGGAAAAAAATTCCCCTGAAAATATTTTCACAGAAAAATAATTATCCTTAAATATTTCTCAGTTAAACATATTTTATAAATGTAATGTAACAACTTTTATGTCAATGTTTGAAAAAAGAACGTTTTTAACTTATCCGTTACTTTCTAAAAAAAAATGTTACTTTAGTTTTTCAAAAAAGTAACGAGAAAAATAAAATACTTTCTAGGTATTCTATATAAAAATCATAATGATTGAAAAATATAGATATCAAATAAAATGTATAAAAATACATTTGTTAAGGGCATTTCCAGACAGTACCAGCAATTTTTTTTTATTTCCAAAAAAAATGTTAAATTCTAGAATTCATTTTTTAAAATATAATATAATATTTAAAAAATAACAATCCGGACCCACATTTCAAAACGCCATTTAATCGCTATTAAAATCAAACTAGTTTGTTTTCTATCTACGATTAAAAAAATGGGGATCTAGATTGTTTAATATTACATTACTAGTAGATAGCCCGTCAAAAATGAACGGGTAATGAAAATTTTCTTCTTACTTTTATGCATGTTACTTGTTATTTGAAAATAATATCCAATTTTTATTCTTCTTACCCCCTTCATCCCTTCAGGCCAGGTTTAATCCATTAAAACTAAGTGCTATGGGTTTGAATAAAAATAAATTTAAAGCATTTACTTGATAATACCAATATTATTTGTTAAATATTACTGATTATTTATACCTAATATTTAATATTAAAAAAAATTCCCAGGCAAAGTCCAAAGCCATATTAATTATGAAAAATTTAATAATAAAGAAATTGTCAAGCGTCCAAGTGCATAATAATTTTGGAAAATTTTCCCCAAGCCCAGCCCAATATAATTTATAAAAATATTTCCCAAGCCCAGCCCAACCCATAATAATTTTATAAAAAAATTTTCTCAAACCTGGCCACCGATAGTAATTTAAATTTTTTTCCAGAGGTAAATCTCTAAAAACCATATCTATTTTTCAGTCTATTTTAACCCAGCTCACCCCAACCAAGGTCAAGCCATTAAGACTAAGAGTGAATACTATTTTTTTGAATAAAAATATATTTAAATTAGATTTTACCTGAGGGCCATTTAAATATTCTGTGTTAAATATTACGCCTATGCCTAATATTAAAAAAATTCCCAAGCCAGGTCCTCGCACTTCGTTTTCTCAAACCCGCAAAAGACCATAATAATTTTGATAGTTGAGGACTTATATAATATATAAAAAGTCACAAAGCATTTAAAAATACAATAAGAATATGAAAGTTGCATGGGTCTTAGTTGATCAGACCTTGCCATGTCTGCAAAAAAAATTTCAAACCAATCTATAACCCATATTTAAAATTCAAAAATCTTAAAGCACCTCTATTTTAAATTTTATCCAATATGATTTCCATCAGATTTTTAAATTTTGATATTTCTAATACATGCTCACAATATACATTGCAACAATTTTACCTCTTTTACTCTTATATTTTAATATTTATATAAAATTTATTAATAAAGTATATTTAATACAATACACACAAACTAAATAATTACCCTTCAACCCATGGTTTTTTGATCAGGCCTGGCTATGTCTGCAAAAAAAATTTCAGACCAATCTATAACCCATATTTAGAATTCAAAAATCTTAAAGCACCTCTATTTTAAATTTTATTCAATATAATTTAAATCACATTTTTAAATTTTGATATTTCGAATACATGCTCACAGTATGCATAACAATTTTACCTCTTTTACTCTTAAATTTTAATATTTATATAAAATTTATTAATAAAGTATATTTAATACCATATACACAAACTAAATAATTACCCTTCAACATCTATATAATTAATATTTTAAATTTAATTATGTTCAAATTGGTGCCTGCGTGAAACTTTAATATATATATAATTAATATTTTAAATTTATTCATATTCAAGTTGGTGCATGCGGTAAAGCATATGCCTTTGAAACGGGAGGCTCGCTTAAATTTAAAATACATTAGGGAGATACGAAAACGATCGTCTTATGTTTATGGAGATTATATATATTAGATATAAAAAAAATTAATTCGCAATGTTAACATTTGTTTTGGAAATAAAAAATTGATTGCTTGTAACATTAACCAAAAACCGCTTTGAAAAAACGTTCTGTTTGGAAGTGGCCTAAGTAAAATTTATAATTCACAGATATCGATCCGACCGAACTAGGATGATTCGCCCTCTGGATAACATTTTCTCGGACATGGTTTAATTCGGACCTTGATTTTAAAATTTATTTCGGATCGGACTTGGGCAAAACTTTGAATTATTTTTTGTTTTCTAAGATATTTTTATGAAAATTATTTTCAAGAATAACCACAAAGTTGTTTATTAATCCTTCAGGTCTTGTCCTGACTCGTCTTATATCTAAGTCATATTTAATATACCTTGCGCTAACTGTGAATGCAAGGTAACCGTCTATATAGTTTCCTCTAAACAGAATTGTCGTATCTTGATATATTATTATTATGTAATGCCAATCAACCAACTTGATTGGATAATAATTAAATTTAGATAACATGTGATCGGATTTTATTTATTTTTAATGAAATTCAAAAGAAATTGATAAAATATTCTTATGATTTTTGAAATCATTTTTTTAAAATTTTTATGATTTTTGTTTAGAAATAAAAAAGATTTTTTTTGTAATAAAATTTATATAATACTAGAAACTAATAAAATTTTTGGTTTGTTATCCTATCATTTTGATAAAGGTTTTTGTGAACATCATCAGTGCAGATTAAGAATAAAGGGTTGATAAGTAAGGGTTTTTTATAAGAATAAAAAGAAAGACACCACAAAACAAAAAAGAGTGCTCTGGTTCAAAATCTGAATAGACATATCTAAATTAAAAATAATACGAACCAGGAGACAGTCTCAGCGTTTATAAATTTTCCGATTATTGTTGAAATATTGTCCTTTTTCTAAAGTCCAATCAGGACTCAAATCTTTGTAATGGACAAGATATTTTAAATTTTTTTCTCGGATCGGATTGAACCTGAAAAAAATAGAGATGCAGTGCTCTAATTACAATACATTTTACAAGTAATTTTATTAGTTGGACTTATATCTAAGTTCTTCCATATTTTTTTTTCAAGTTACAAATGGCGTTACTTTTTCGCTAAAGGGAAACGGTGTTTCACTGAAAAAAATATATGAAATTTTGTATATGCTAATGAAAAACAAGGTCGAAATATAGGCAAGTTTTTTTTAAGTGACAATAAAATTTCTAGGAGGATTAATTATAAAAGATGGTTTTCTTATCTGATCATTACTGTTCTTATTTTCTTAAAATCGATCCATAATTTTATGTTGATTACTCCTAGAATAATATATTTTTAGTTGCCAGATTTTTCCCACTCAAAAGAGTCAGTTTTAATAGAAATTTGTGCATTTGTTGAAAATCACGCAATAAATCATTAAAACATTTATTATTTTTCTAAATTATACCATTGAACTCATTATATAACCTATTTATATATTTTTACTTCAAATAATTCGAAAAATTACTGCTTTTCAACAGCATCTTTACTGAAGAGATATTCCCAAATTATTTTATTTTTTGATAAAAAAATAAATTCGGAACTACTAAACAGGAAGTCAAATACCTTGGTCCGTTTATATTTTGTCCATTTGAGTGAAAAATGCTTTCCTCTCATGTTTCCTTTAGCCAACCGTGTTCTATTGTTATTTGGAGTTTCTTTATTATAGCTTCAACTCCTTCGATTTTATCTGGAGAAGACCACGGCTATTGTGTCGTCCATGACTGGATTTTATTTGAATATCGTATATATGATATCAACCGCCAAGCCAATCGTACTATTATAGTCTTAGAGAGGCCTACAGAAATAATCTTTCAAATGGTTTGGGATCTACCATAAATAGTGAAATTTCGGCCGTTAATATAAGTGTGGAATTTCTTAACCCCCAAAACTAATAGTAGATTTTTAATCTATGGCTCTGTATTTGTCTTTTCGATTTGGTAGGGTGTGCTATAACACTTCTCCAAGCTCTTTGAATGCATGACATTGATGCTATTGGTAAATTGGCTGTATAAGGGATTATCGTATCCTCTATTCAATCCTGTTTCTGTTAAACATGCTTTGGTGGTTATTTATACTGGTAAGTTGATGTAGAAGGTTAAGTACTCCTTGTAATTGTGGGAGGAAATTACATTACAGATTTTGATGCTTTATGGATTACAAAAAAATCTGCTAGGTGAATCCCTTGAGCGCCCATTCTAAGAACAATTATGTCAGAGGATTGTAAAAAATTTATACCTTAACCTTGAGTCCTGCGGATTGCAATTATAACAGCATCGTATGCACATTCCTAATATGACATTATCTTTGTCTGTAATTATGACGTTATTGAAATATAGTTATGAGAAACTCCCAACAAATTGTTTATGTAGCGTTAAAAATGTGCTTCAATTAAAATGGAAGTTGTCAAATATCTAATCTGTATAATGTGTTCTATCTGAGGTCATGGTAAAGTGGCGCCAATTCTACGCCTAAATTGGTTTTTAAACCGTTCTAAATTTGGCGTGGTTGCGAATTCTTGCACATTTCATCAGATCTAATATTCATAAACGTAATTTTAGTAAAAATAAGTATTATTTTTATTTAATAAATTCAGCAGTCTCTTTGATAATATTCAAAGGAGCCGGTGTTATCTTTTTGCAATTACACTTTTTTTATTTCGGAAATTTTGACGAAACCTATATAACCCACAATATAATTTTCTTCCATGTATTATCATTGCTTGAAATTCTATTTAGTTCAGTCATTATTTATGAATTCTCCAAATAGTCTTCAATGTTCATTTTAGCCTCATATA